CCTCCCATTCTACTTTTAAAAACCACTAGTAAATCTGCAGGTTAAGATATGAGTTCTGCAACAGCTTCATGCATGGGGTGGGAAACATTATCCTACATATAGAGTCTGCACCCCTCTGCTACCAAAGTCAGCCTTGCAGTAAATATGATCAGCGGAATGATAATTATATTAGTCAAAGTATAATTTTTGGCTCTTCTTAAAAAAAGGACCAATGTTAAAAACAAATATGATTATTATAAAAAGCTTATTAATATTTGTTGAACAGAAAGCAAAGTCAGCTTCATGCTCACCATGACCGTCTCTCTGCAAAAAAACAAGCAAAATCTGAAAGGTGAACAGTCCTCATCAGGTTTTGCTTGTTTTTTTTTTTTTGCATGCTGTTATTATGCACCCATTTTGTTTAGACTGCATCACTTATTATTGTGTGAATATTTCAACATCTGTGATTATAATCAGCATATTATTCAAAAATCTCTCAGAACTGACAGCTGCACATATGCTTAGCTAATTTAACGTGATTCCAATCATATTAATCAGGCCTTTTGTTTGTCTTTTTTCTGACGATCCAAGTGTTTGAAAGCCAAAAGCTACGAAATCAAGATTTCAAGCTTCCACAACAAACGATGCATAAAATACCCTTTTGATTTGTGCGTTTTAGGAATTAAAAAGAGCCAGCAGAATGTCATTTTTTCTGTAATCAGAATGTTTACTTATGTCTTGTTAATTACACTGCATTTAAACATGAAAAGTGCTTTAGTGTGTTAAAGAAGGGGAAATGTTTTCTCTCCTCCGATATGAAAAATCTCCAACAGATTACAGTTAGAGTCACAATCAGAGTCAGGAAGTCAGATTCACTGAGCTGCCAACAAAATCTCACCTGATAAAAACCAACTTCATCTTCCTCAAACTGAACCTACAAAACAGACATCAAGGTTGTTAACGGCTTAATTTAATTGGCTTCTTTTCTTCAACATATCAACCTTTTAAAAGCATTCAAGTTTGTAAAATGACTAAAATATTTATTGTGCTTTGTGAAAACGAAGCACAAAGTAAAGCTTTCAGTTTTCAATTGAATGAATAGAAGAACTGAGCTCTTGTTGATTCCTGGGAAGAGCCAAGAAGTCTGGAGTTTGTGACTCGGTAACCTTCAGGCCAGAGTCAAAGTTTATCCTGTTTTTGGTCTTTAGCTCAACCAGAGCTAAAAGCCAAAGACTCATAAGACCAGGATATCGGCTCATCACATGCAGCACCAGAGCCAAGAGAGGCTGACCTCAGCAACTTAACAATACATAACAGAATTTGGTTAAATCAGATGAAGTTTACAGTTTTTTTTTATTAAAAAGTTTAATTTTTTGCTCTCAATTCAAAGGTTGTTTTATTTTATTATTAATGACCATGCCTGCTGCAGATTTTTAAAAAATGTTTTCATTTACTTCTTTATTTTCTGCAATAAAATTTTTTTAAAACTGAAAAAGGAGAAAAAAACTAAACCTAATTTAATACCTTAAGTTTGTTTCTCCATTATGGGATAATATTGAATCTAACACTGATGGATGTGAAACCTTAAGGTAAGCAGATTTAATATAACTTCACTACGTGCATTTTTCTATTATATTGATTGTTTCTGTATGCAAACCCCCTGCCCCCCCGTACTGTTGCAATAAAAACAATGTGCATCAATTAAAAATATTTTTCTTGTAAACACAAAAAGGAAGATTGGAAGGAAACTCCTGTGTCTACATGCAGGGCCTGGTGGTGATGTCAGCAGAGCTGGAGGAAGTAGTCAGCAGCATCCTAAAGGGTCGTGTTCCCAGCATGTGGATGAAGAAGTCGTACCCCAGCCTGAAGCCGCTGGGAAGCTACGTCAACGACTTCCTCCAGAGACTCAAGTTCTTACAGGTGTCTGAACACTCGGCGAACATTTCCAGGCTGTTAACATTAAGGCTGCTCTTTTGGACGTTTTCAGCTTAAACAGACGACCTGAGGACGGCTGCAGGAAAAGTCTGGTCATATTCAAAAGTCAAACTTCTGAAAATACTTTAAATATTCAATTATTACATACTCTTCAATAAGTGTTTTTAATTAAGAGTAATTATCATCTGAATGTGCTTTACTGGAGGCATCCATGTTTGTCAAAGAACACTACTGCCACCTACTGGTT